ATTCAATCCCTAGACTGCAGCCTCCTCAAACAGATACCTGAAGGACATTCTAAATTCCAGCTCTTTCACATCTACTACCAATTATTTAGAGACTATGGAAATATGGCATGGCAGCCTTAAGCTTCTGGGGATGGTGGTAGGGGCAGAACACTGCCGAAAAGCTAGAAAGACAATTACATTTGACTTAAGCTTCCAAATATTACCAAAAATGTTTAAGTATTTCAGAAAAACAAATAAGATTAAAATATTACTCTTTAGAATTAACGGGAAAAAGTACCACCTGTCCACTGATTTTTAACCACCTCAGCCATATTTACTAATACAATGACCACCTGTCCATCTACATAAACACAGAATGTCAAAAGAATACAAATTCATTGTGTTAACAATACTGTAGAGGGTCATGTGCTCACAATCCAGTCAAAGTTTACAGACTAAAATATTGGGAGTGAGGACTGGTGAAAGCATTCCGAGGGGAAGCTCACTTACTTTGCATTTATTTTCAACTTAAAGTTAAAGACCATGCCAGCCACGATCTAAATGGAAGAAAGTTTCTTCATGCATTAAGCACGTTTTACTTCTATTATATATTAGGCACTTAATAAATACTTCATATAGAGTATTACTAAAAAGCAGTAAATGCATTTAATCTAGGGAACAAATGACTGGTCTTATCTAGAAAATTTAGTCTACTGAGAATACAAGAGAACTCTTTAGATGTAGGTTGAGGGAGAAATATGGCACAAAATAACCCATCACTCCATCAAGGTGATTCTCACCTTTGTCACAAATTACAAATTTATTACCACTGACAAGGACTCAATAATCAGTACCTCATCCTAATAAATGGATCTTCAAAAAGGGGTTTATCTCCATTATCCACCCAAACCTGCAGAACATTTACTTGATCTACACTTACTTTTCTTGACTAATATGAGGGGAAATGTATACTGGAAGCCTATAAAAAGGCATACACAACTCTTTGAAAAATTAATCAGGGAAAATTTCTGATGTCTGTGCTATTAAAATATTTCCAATTTAACTAGCTAACCCAAACCCCTGATGTCCAAACGCTTGGTCTTTGGCCTTCCTTAGTTACTAAAAACAGTGTGTTTAGGGCATCTTTTTGAACAATTGTGCTTTTCCCCCTGTATTTTGCCACTCGTTCAACTCTTTTATCCACAGAAATAAGAAATGCCCAAGCCTCCAGCTTCTGAAAATAACATCTGGTATGCGCACACAACAAAAAGCTTGAGAGAATGTCCTAGTTTTTATGTAAAACTTTTTCATTGAAGACGTGAATGCCTTTAGCAAAGATTAGGCATAAATCAGCTTTTACCTTATTAGGAGATTGCTCTTTTCAACATTTACCTTAAAACACAACATGGATTTATCTTCTAACCAGTTAGCTTCCTCTCTCTCCCCAACTAAATTAGACTTTTTTTTTTTTTTAAGCATAGGACTACTGGACCTCATGATCTGTTGCCCAGATAACATATTTCAAAAACCCTGTAAGTCTCCACAAAGACATAACTTTTGCTAGCCTTAAAGTTGTAAGGATTTCTGTAATACTTTAAAGCTATTTAATAAGAGCAGGTGTCCTTAGCTGCTCCTGTAGTTGTATACCAGTGGGCTCTCAAAGTGTGGTCCTAGACCCCTGAGAGTTTCCAAGACCCTTTCAGGGGGTACATGAGGTCAAACAATTCTCATAATACTAAAATGTTACTTTTGTTTTTTACCCTCATTCTCTCACAGGTATGCAGTGGAGCTTTTCCAGAGACTACATGATGTGTGATATACTGAGACTGAAGGCAAAAGCAGGTATGAAAATCCAGCTGTCTTCTATTAAGCTAGACAAGAGAGCTGTAAAAATATAAAATAATGCCATTTTTCTCACTAAATTTTGTTTTGAAAAGACAGTTATTTTATGAAAACTATCATTTATGTTAACACTAACAGATTTATTATTATTTGTGATTTAATAAATATATTTTTAAATTTTTTCTGTTTTAACTCCTGGTACAGAAAAGATCAACAGACATAAGCCATAGAAACAAAGGCTCTTTGGATTCTCAATAATTTTTAAGTGTAAAGGGGTCCTAAACAAAAAGTTAGAGAAGAGCTGTAGTATACAATAACATAACCTCACACAAAGTGCTTTCCATAGATAAGAAGCTCAAGTTAATTCTGAAGTATACTTTTTACATGCCCTAATCTTGTTGAGAAATGTATCTCCTTGGAAAGCATAATTCAGCATGAAGCTAGTCTGTCCTAGGCCCTACTTAAGGGGCTTTAGATATTTAAGTATTCAGAGTCGTCTTTATAAAGATGTTCTGACCTACAATATCTCCTATTACTTGAAGAGTGCATAGGAGTTTAACATTTTTTTCACAAAAATTTCCTTGTTCATCCTAACAGCAACCTGAGCATTACCCTTTTTACAGATGACATCATGAAACTGATGAGTAAAGGAAAGAGAACTACTTGTCCAAGGATGTACTGCTAGTTAATAGGGCCTTGGATGTTCATTTTTTGCAACTGCTTGGCTGCCTTAAGGCTGTTTCACTGTGGTATAATTCCAAAGAAATCAGAGCAAGGGCATTACTTTTACTGTCCCAGTGCCAACAAAGGGAATTTTTGGGGGGGGGGGGGCTTTAATAAGAACGTAATCAGACTCGATACCTGGTCACAGCATTATTCAACACATTGGCTACCCTTCTAGTTCTCTACAAAAAAAAGAAGAAGAAGAAGAAGAAAAAGATAAAGAATAAATACCAGAATATATCAATACAGTGCTGCAAGATGATGAGTTAGTTAAGGACTCACAGATTTACTAATCATTTAATCACTGAAACAACAGGCAGGCAAGAACAAGATCAAGTTCAATATAATAACACTAGATTTTATCAATGGATGGATGCCAACAGGTTAAAATGGAAGGCCCAAATGAACAGAGTTCAATTCACAGAATATGGACAGAAGATAAAACACACCTAAAGTTAAACTAGCTTTATTTGTTCTACAAATCCAAGGGCATGACTGTAACCACCCTCAAAAAGCAAGGACTGAAACAAATGTTGATGCAAGATGCAAAGGTGCCATCCTACCCCTTGGATAGAAATCATCCCTCCCTTACAGGTGGACATGTTCTTGTTATCAACACAAGTCTCTTAGGTATGCTCCATTTTAACTTAAGTTTCCTCAGGAAATACCCAATTTTCTGCATCTCTTTTCCAGAGTTAACTGGGCTCCCTGACTAAGGCAAGACTGACTCACAAGAGGATATCTGCCCCTTGCATAAACTCTTTTCCTTTTTAAAATTTGATTTGATTTTACCAGAATAAAACAGAAGTGTCCTAACTGTCCGCTTTGAATTCCTGTAGTTTATTTACAACAGATGAGCAAGAGTAATTTCATCATTCCTCATGAGGAATGCTTTTCCAAGTGTTTACTTTGGTCATTTTTTGAAAAACCTCTTTTGAAAAAAAATTAAAAGATATAGCATCACAGCTATAGCTACAATTATAGCTAATGCACCAACAACCAATTTGTAAAGCAATTTGATATACCTTATTTATTGTTCCATACTCAACATTTACTGTGAAAGATACAATAGTATGTAAGAGCTAATTTATACAAGTTTCTGTACCCTCATAAAAGAATTGCCATACTGCATTGTAAAACCAATTAACCGATTAATCTTTAAATGCCTCATGCAGAAGAAAAAAAAAATGACTTTACAAAGGCAAGCAAAGCATCAAAGCTCTGGGAGCTCCGCGGAACCGTGGTTATTTCTATTCCTTATCCTAGAGCACATTTTTCTTTGTGGTGTTACCTATGTTTTCTCCAAGGGCATAATTACCGTTTAAAAAGTAACCTGTCAAAAGTGTTAAGGCAATCTCTAAACTACCTTCCTAGCTCCAGCCCATAACAAGAAATGTCACACTGCTAAATCGTACCATTGCTGTTTCCCTGTATTTCTTCAAATGAACTTGAGATTTTTGAAGTGCACCATTCAAATTTTACACTACAACCCAAGCTATCGTTGATCATCTCAAATCTAATAAACAAAGACTCTAGCGGCGGCACCAGGGCCCTACCAGGAAGTAATCAAAGCATTGTGGCCGGTGCGATCCTAAGTCCCTAGAGCAGACAATAAGAGGGCACTGGGGTTTCCAGCGGGCCCGGCCCAAGGAGTTCATTTGCTTAAGCAATGCAAAAGCATTACATAAACCTAATAACTGTTGTACAGCACATGAACTCGGGACTCCCAGCGCAATTTCAGACACCCAAAACATCTGAAAGGCAATCGAGCCGCCCCTCCGAAGCAGCTGCTGATCAGCCTCCCGAGCTTTCTAGCCTGCAGCTTGTTTTCAAACTTCACCCTCCCTGGATGATGAAAGACTCCGACCTCGGCCGCCCGAGTTCCGAACACCTCGCGTAGCTCAGAGCTCCGGCCCGGCACGGATCGGGTTGCCCGAGCCCGCGGACAAGTGAAGGGAAGCGGGGCCGGGGCAGGCGGCGAAGGGCCCCAGGGCGCCCTTCAGCCCAAACAAAGCTGCCCCCGGGGAGCGGCGTTTTTCCTGTCCGGCGGAGGACAGGACGCAACTCGTGCGGCCGCCCTGTGGGACCGGACACCCGCCGCTACAGCCCCCAACCCGGCGAACCGGCGAGCACAGCTCCTGGGCGGGGCGGGGGCGCGAGCCGGAGGCCAGGGTCCCGGCACGTCGCTGCCCCCACGCGCTTGTGGCCCCAGCCAGGCGCGGGCCTCTCTTTCGCCGGCCCGACGGTCGGGCCGCGGAAAACAAAGGAGTCGCCGCCGCTCCGCCTGGCGCGCCTGCCTGCGCCAGCCTCACTGCGTACCCCTCCCCAGCCGCCTGACCCGGCTCGCCCTCACCCCTCGCCGAGTCCACGCGCCGGCCGCCCTCGGCCCCTAGACGGCAGGCCCCACAGAGCCGGGGCCTCGGGTGCACAGCAGGGCCGCCTGGGGCCGCACTCACCGCTGCAGCACCAGGACGACGGGGAGCCGTTGGGGAACTTGGCTGAGTCCGGAGCGATGCAGACGCTGGAGCTGAGGTGCGGACACTCCATAGCCACAGGAGAGCGGCGAGGAGGACCGAGACTCCGGTACCGGGTGAGGTGAAGGCGGCAGGACTCCGAAGGCTTCGTCTGGGGTCGCTTCTTGCTGGGCGCTCGGTCGACGGCGGCTGCGTCCCAAGCCCTTGCGTCAAAGAAAGCAAAAGCTTCCGGGCGCCGGGTTTTCTCGCCCGCCGTCTCCAGAAGCACCGCTCCAGAGAATGTGGAAATCCAGGATCCGGGTTCTGCCGCCACCCCTAGGTTGGGGGCTTCCGTCTTCCCAGGCCGGCCACGCCCCTCCCCTGGGTAGTCCACGCCCTCAGACCCAGCTCCTCCCCCGCCCACTAACCGCCGGGTGGGGCCCTGGAGCCTCCCGGCGGGTGGCCTTGAGTCAGGCTGCGCTGCTAAAGACTTTCTCAACTCTGCCGCCCCGCTTGGCCGCGGCCTCCTTGAGCCCCGGAAAGGGTGGGGCGCCAGGAGGAGACACGCGAGTCCGGTCCGCTGTGTTAACCGCGGCCCCGCCAGCTCTCGCAATTCGAAGATCCTGCATGGTGTATGGTGGTTTTACTATACCGTGGTAGAAAATCTGGCCACACAATAAGGTGTGAAGGAGAAAATAAAAACCACTCTGGCAGACAGGCACTACAGTCCCATTTTAAAAAGAAGACACAAGCTCGGACGGTTAAGGGCCTGGCCCCCGATGGCCCAGCGGGCTACGTCGGTCTCAGAGCTGTCCTGATTTAGCGTTCTCTCTTCCGCAGGTGCGATACTGCCCAGGTTCTAGGCTCTAAACACGTGGCCTTAGTCAGCCACCTGGGTGCTGCGTGGCTAGACCCGCCGGGGCGCCCACGAACCTCGGTTCAAACCCTGTCGTTGTAACTCACCGTGTGCGATACCTCTAACGCGCTGGAAGTCTGATAGATCGCCCTAACCAGGGTTTGCTGAGCGCGAGGTCCTGGTAACCAGGTGATAAAAAGGGAAGGAATCTAACCTTTGTTAAACACCGACTACAGTCTCCTAGCCAGGCACTTTACACACAATACCTCATTTAAAACTCGCACCACCCTGCCAGCTGCTGCTACTTTCTTTTTCTTCCTTTTTTTTTCTTTCACCGCGGTGGAAACCAAATCTGTCTGTAATAGGTTAAGGCGTGCTGCCGAGATAGGATCCTCGACTCTCTGACCTCGCTGTGGAAAGTGAATAGGGAAAGCCACAAGGGACCATTTGAGCAGGCATTACACCCAAGCTAGCCTGCGATCCCCTCCGGGGCTATTACAAATATTGCCTCAAAGTTGGGGCTCCCTGTAAAACGGCCAAGGAATTGAAAGGCCAGGAAGCAAGCGGGGAAGGAGGAGGAGGATGTGGCAATCTTGCGGGCAGGGTGAGAGGAGGAAGGAAGGTCAGGAAATGATTAACCGGGCCGGGCTGGGTAGTGGTTAGAGCAGGGCACCTCCCGGCAGTGCAGTCCTGGAGCCATTCAGGGACGCCTTCTCGGTCACTAGAGAAGCGCCTCGACCTAGTCCCCGCACTACCCCCCGACCCCCGCGCCTCTCGATTTCTGCCTAATGGTGTCCACACATCCGGGGCATCTGTGTCGACCCTGTCCCCCAGTACTATTTCCGACTCCTCCGTCAACTCTCTTCTGTCGCTTTCCCAGTTTTGATTACTGTTAGAGCAAGCTTCAGTCTTGGGATTTTATGGCAGTAAGGAGTGGAGGACAGTACAACTCTCATCTTCCCAAACCTTTTCTTTTTCATCTGTAAAACTGGGAAAAATAATACCTATCTGTCAAGAAAGATGTAAGAATCCCCGAGAATTGCCACCACGTTGTAGGTAGCAAGTAATTTATAGCTTTTTAAAAATTATAGCAGGTGAGGGAATAATTCCTAGGAAAAGGGAGGATAAATAAATCTGACCTTTGCTCAACTTTCCCAGCCCTCTCCTGCTGGCAGCCAAATTTTTTTTTACAAGGCCTGACTGGACCAACTTTTGTTTCCTTCTGGACACCTACCCACATTTAGTATCCATACGCCACAATTAGCAGTGGAGGATGCCCTGACTCATGCCGTCTTTCATATTGGCGTGTAATGTTTCTTTTTTTCACCCTCTCAGAGACTCCCTTTCCTTATTCTCTAGACTTCATCTTAAACGTCACTTCCTCAGGGAGGCCTTTCCTGACCCCGCTCCCGCCCTAGGTTACCTCCAGGTGTGTAATGCCCTCTTTGCTCCCACACTCAGCCTTTTTAAAAACACTCTTCATGCATGCAATTATTTGTTTAATGTCTGTCTTCCCCTTGGAGTTCCATAAGGATAGCAAACCAGTCTGTCTGTTTTCCTGCTGTATTCCTAACATAATATATCCAATAAATGTGTTCAATAATGAGTGTGTGATTGATTAGCAATGTCTACCATGGACAGGAGTTTAGGAATGGCATAATATAGGCCAGGCATTTGCCGCCCCTCACCAAGGTGATCTCTCAATTTCCTCCAGCTTTGAGTTTATGGTTTTGGTGGCATCAGGAATGTGAAAGCACCTTGTAGTGTGTAAACTGCTTCTTAAAAAAGATTTAAAAATAAAGAAAAGAAAGAAAGGTTTTTATTAGAATCTTCTCTTCCCAGCTAGAATAAAAACATCTCCAAGCAGGGGGCCTAATTTAGTCATCTTTGACTACTCTAGTCCCTGGAGGGAAAACTATGACTACTAGGCAGTCCAGAGAAGCTGGGCAAAATCAAAGAGGCCCTCCTGGGGCTTTAGCTAGGTTTTCCTAAAGTGCAGGGAAGTTTTCTGTGTCTTTGAAAGTTTTCATTTAATAACAAAACAAAACAAAACACCCTCACCGTGAGTAAATGTGTTGAACAGGGGAAGACCACAGGGCACACTGGGAAATCTGCTTTTTCAGTTCCTTGTTTCTTCAGCTTTTTAAGACGTTTGCTTTTCTGTTCTTGGCCTGAATCTCTTTGGCACTAAGGAGCTCTGACATACATACCAGTGAGCCCTGGTGGTGATGAGCCAGCCTCCAGCTCCTCACTCTCGGGAACACTTGGTCTCAAGGGTCACCAGCCAGCCCTCAGCAGCGCGCCCCCCCTCCTCGCCTCCCCTAGGGGGGCAGCTCCTGCCGTCAGAGGCAAGAAAGTTTTAAGCTTGCATTTTTTGGAGGAGAAGAATGTACAATCTCAACCATACTATCAAATGTTTTTCATCTAAAGGCAATATAATGAGGGTGCTGATGAGAAGGGGGACATACGTTGCCATGGGAACCATGATCACGAATGGCCTCAAGGTTGCTGTGACTTTCCTCTAGTTTTTGACTTGAGACTTCTGGCAAAATTGGTGGTCCTGAGGCAAGGATTACAAGCTGACCAGGCCCTAGGGAAGACTAGTTCTGACTATTCCCACTCAGGCAAGGCTTATTATTGGAAGAACCCAGAGTGCTAGGTTAATTATTTACTGAGATTTTTCTAGGAGCAAAGCCTCCTAGGGAAATTGAAGTTATAAAGGGAATGCTTGGTGAGTATTCAGAACGGCATGGGGTGGGGAAGCCCCCCAGAGATCTTTTTATCACCTCGTTTTATTTTCCAAATAGCACTTATCTGATCGTTCTTTGCTTGTTTACTTGTTTATCTATTGTCAGAATGTTCCATGAGAACAGAAACCTTGCCAGTCCTGTTCATCGCCTGATTTCCAGTTCCTGGCATTCAGCCTAGTACAGGGCAGGCCCTCAGGAGCTATTTGTTGAATGACTAAATGAATGAAGGGGCTGGGCTTTGGCTCCCCGCAGCCAGCCCTCACTTCTGCACTCAGGAATACAGGCGATGTCATTCTCCCACTTCTTCCATTCACCCCTTTCGCATTATCTTCCTGCCCAAAATTCTTCAGTGGCTCCCCATCCCTGGCAAGATAAAATCAACTAAAACCCCACAGTCACCTGTCTCTGTCTCTTGCTAAAGATTTTTTTTTTTTTAACTATTCTGGAATTACCTAAAATAGTTCCCCTTCATGATGGAAAATGTGCTTCCTCACATTTTTGTATCATCTCTTTTCCTATATCAGGCCAGCTCCATGAAGCAGACAGCCTCCTCAGGGAAGCCCTCCGTCACTCACTCAAGGAGACTTCTAAGCCTCCCCCTCTCCTCTATCCCCATTCTGTCTCTACAGCTTGTCACACAGGCTACTATTTTCTGTCTCCTTTGGGAACAAATGCTGCTTTTTTTTTTTTTTTTTAATCTGTGGATACTAGGCACCTAGTTCAACAATTGCAGATTTTTTTAGAAAGATTTTATTTATTTATTTTTAGAGAGAGGGGAAGGGAGGGAGAAAGAGAGGGAGAGAAACATCAATGTATGGTTGCCTCTTGTGTGACCCCAACTGGGGACCTGGCCTGCAACCCAGGCACGTGCCCTGACTGGGAATCAAACCAGTGAGTGTGGTTCACAGGCTGGCGCTCAATCCACTGAGCCACATTAGCCAGGGCCCAATTGCAGATGTTTTTAAAAGATTATATTTTTTGCTCTGACTGGCATGGCTTAGTTGGTTGGGCATTGTCCCACAAAGGGAAAGCTCACCAGTTCGGTTCCCAATCAGGGCACATGCCTATATTTTAGGTTCAGTCCCTGTCACGGGTGTGTAGAAGAAACAACTGATCAATATTTCTCTGTCACATCCATATTCTTCTCCCTCTCTTTCTCTCTCTCTCTGTAAATAAAAAAATCTTTTTTAAAAAGATTATGTCTGCTGATTAAATGTTGAGAGTGCCCCCTTAGAGCATGATTACCTCAGTTATTATATGTAATGGTCCCCCAGGTATTCACAAAAAGGACCTCAACTCCGTAAGAACAAAAACAGACATTATTGGGTCCCAGCTAGGTGCCAGATATTATATCAAGTTGTTTTCATTTCTTTAATCCTTATAACACACCTGAGAGGTAGGTATTATCATCTCCATTTTACTGATGAAAGAACTAAAGCTCAAAAAAGGTTAAATAATTGCATAAATATACACAATTAGTACTTGGTCTTTCATCAAAGGTAGTAGAGTTTCACCCCTCAAACACATGGCCAGCTAAATGATTTTGCAGTATTATATGGGGTTAGCTGAAGTTCTTGATGAAGAAGTCTCTTAGAGACCACAGAACACAGAAGAGCCTTCTGAATACTAAAAAATCATTTGGATTCAGTAGCATTGTA